AGTAAGTTGTTGTCGTTGTCTAGAGACTGTTATTAATGTACGCAACGCGCCCCCACACTCGGCGCGGGGGGGGAGTGTTGGGGGGGGGCAGGAGGGCAGAAGAGGAGCCCCGAGCCGCCCCTCTCTCCCCGTGGGGGGGGGGGGTTTTTTTTGGTTTTTCCCCCTCCCACCCGGCGGGGGGTGGGCCGCCCCCCAATATTTCCCCCCCCCCCCCCCCCCCCCCCCCCCACTCGATATGGATTACAAGCTTACTGGCGACCTTAGTAGGTTGACTTAACCGCAGAAATTTTGCCACAGACTTCCTAGTTGCAGATCCATTTGGCTGTCATTCAGTCAGTCAGTCACGAGCCACGAGCCACAAAGTCGCGGAATCAGGAAAATCAGGAGGCAGTGCCGAGCTCTTGATGAAGTCTTCTGCGGTTAGTGGGGCTGCTGCCAGCAGTAATTTGTATCTGCCCATAAACATGTGTATCTCTTCTCTATCCCAATACCAATTTCCCCTACTCGTATGATCATCAATTTTTCGTATTTTTGCATAATGCACAGCCGTTGCTTGTACGAGCCTTTGTCATATGATAGCTGCCATAAGTTCCGCATCGCTTTGCTAGCTGTCCTTTGCCCAATTGCATAACCCAACTTAAGGCAGCAGCTCTGCCAAAAAGTATTTACTGCAGCTCTCAGGCATGGGAAAACTATATATAAATATATCTATGGCTTAGCTCCGACTGGCAAACAAAGGTCAAACATGTTTAAAGTGCACTTCGAGCGCAAAATGTCACTGCACGCGCTGTCACTCTTAACTCTTAACTCTTAGCTCTTTGCCTGCCTTTGGTCTGTGTCTCTGTCTCTGCCTCCACCTCTGGCAATTGTTTTTTCCACTCAATTTCAATTGTTAGTGCGCCCCTCTTCCACTGCTGCGTTGCGACTTTAAACAAATGAATATTTTTGCGCATTGCAGTCGCACTCTCAACGCCCGCCCATCGCTTTTGAGGGGGAGGACTGACCTTACAAAAGCGAGAAATCTGCCCCCCCCGGGTAATTTTGCGAATTGTTGTATAATAATGTCCAATTGCAGCGACTGCTGTTGGATCTCCTGATTCAATTGATCGCAATTGGGGCTGGCTTGGGGCTGACTGGGCTACTGTCCCTTGAGTATGAGAAAGTTAAGCTGTGGCTACTGGCAGGTGCCTGACTGGCTCGGAACTCATCTATATTTGTGTCGAGAACAACCATTAATAAGTATGATCTGGTGGCAATGTAAACTATACGAATTTTTAAGGTTACCCTCTCAGAAAAGTTCACATGGAACAACGACACAATGGACTTGCCTTATGCTGAAACTTCTCCACTGGTAGGAGGGCAGAACATACATAAGGAACGAACGAACGACCTCCATTGAGTGGAAACATGAATATTTCTCACACACACCCATTACATGGAAACAATCGCGGCAGCACTTAATTGAAAACGGTGGAAACGCTGGAAAGGGGAACAGCCAACGTCACAGCCACCTCGTCCACAACGCTTGTGGTGCATGCCCGACCCAGCTAAAAGATACATTAAAAATGTTCAGGCGTAGAGAAACTTGGCGCTTCCATGTTACGATCTTCTGGGCCTAAATGCAGTTGGTGTTGGCTGCCGCTGCAGATGCTCGTTGTTTTAATTACCTTGGCAGCGATTCAAGCCTGCCCCCGAAGCCGGCAACCAAACAGCGCTACTAACGATCATCATGTGAACTCCTCTCCTCCTACTCCTGGAGCGCCTGCGCATTTCCTCCGCTTTGGCCTGAGCTTGGGAACCGAAAACAGAAAACCCTCGGCAGTGCATTCTTCGTGGGCTTTTCTGAAAACACTTTCGCATCTCGGGCCAGTGGCTGTGGCGGAGGGGTGAAAGCTGAAAGGAGTTTTCTGGACTGGGCATGTTGAACATCTGCTAAAATCGCCATAAAGCCGTTGTGTGGCTCTCCCTTGGCTCTCTCCCGCCAACACTTTCACACATTAGGCCAAGGGGTCTTGGTCTTGGTCTTGGTCTTGCTCTTGGTCGTGGCGGTTGTACCTCATTTTGCTTTATGGGCTGTTAAGTTTGATGCGAGCCACGACCAAGGAGTGGGATTCCTCCTTGGTATGATTGAAAACACGATTGGGGCATGGTTATTCTCAACATCTGAGCGCATGCATAAAGAAAACCAATCATGGGGATCTCCTCTATGGGTTTCCCGCAACAACTGACGTTATTTTCGATCTTCTCACTGTCGGATACCGCACCAAAATGGTAAACGGAAAGCTCCAAGGCTATACAAGAAAATAAACTAACAGTTTGGAAGATATTTAAATGTGAAAATTGAAGGAACTGAGACTCAGGAAAATCAAGATTTGAAAGATTATTCTGGTACGTGCGTGAGCTCAGAGCATTTCCGATATGGACATGGATATTTATCGTTGAGTTTGTAGATTTTCGGAAGAATATTTCTATCCATACTACATTTACTTGGGTCCTATAATATCCTATGAAACGTGTTCGTGGCCGTTCGCTTAGGCGAACAGGTTGGAAATTGGTCTTTGAGTACTTCACTCCAATTTTAGAGACTTTTATGTAGCCGGAGATCCACCTGATGGGAATGCCCAATGACGGACAGTTCTTTTCCGCTTTGATTTGCCCTGCGATCTTTGCCGATGCTGACGTTCCCCTCCCTTCTATTATCATAAATCATTAGAACTTAATTAAAACTCGAACCGGAACCGCAGCAACAATCCGTTCGGAATGAACTCATTTGAGCGAGCTTTACGAGCCATAATTCTAATCTTTAATCTTTAATCTTTAATCTGTGGGCACTAAAGAGACCCCCACGGGAAAGAATTGAAAACTGTTAACGGGCAGGGCAGTAAAAACTAAAAAATAAATGCGAGCACATGTCCAGGGAATAGGCAGAAGAAAGAGTACCGGTACCGGTCCCGGTCCCGGTCCCATGAAAATATCACTCACCTTTCGATGCGAGACGACGAGCGGCGTGTGGTGCTGATGATGATTGTTGTTGTCAAAGGCTGTGGAGTAGACAAAAATGAAGTGGAAATTTAACAACAGCATTTGTGAGATTTGCAATTTGTAAATGAAATAATAATATGCCATAAATGTGGCCATAATCTGGCGGCGATTCGGTTACAGTTAACAGACATTCAGTCATTCGGTCGGGAAATCATTTGCGAGAAAACCATAAACGAGCCAATTGCAATTAAGCAGAGCACAAAGCCAAAACAACACAGCAACTGTTCACCTTTCCAATTGCATTTTAAGATATGCAAAAATTGCAAAAGCCCCGCACCGTACGAGTGATCTATTTTGTGTGTGTTCGCCTGCCGTGAAACTTCCGCAGTGTGGGGCCAAGCCTGGTAAAAAACAGAAACCTGGAACGGGTTCAGCAATCATAAACTTGTTGTGCAGACGGACATATCAAATCGGGGTGGGCAGGTGACGCTGACCAGCAGCATTTCAACGGAAAATTGTCAATGAACGAACCCGCCAGCCAAGCCAAGCCAAACCAAACCAAACCAGACCAAACCAACCCGAGTCGAGTCGAGTACTATAAGTTATATCTCTATTTCTGATACAGATACAGATACAGATACACGAGGCATATCCATAAAGCGCTTTGGCATTTTGTTAAACAATTAAATGCATTTTAACAACAACAGCAACGAAGTTTGAGAATAGTTGACTCAGCCCCGGGCCAAGGTTTCAGTTTGATTTGCTGACCGGCCGGCTTTTGATTACAAACTGGCCCGCGACAAAGACCAGACCCCCCCTTGGTGGGTTGTTTCGTATTGTATCACGGCCCAACAATTCCATTTTGTGGTTTATTAAGCGTGACTCGTGGACAACAGTTGGAGCAGGTACAAACCGGCAATAAATACATCAAAAGTGGAGTAAAATATTGCCAGTTATTGCTTAGAGATTGTGGAGGCATAGCTCCAAATAAAGCTACAAATATTCGTATTTATCCTGTGGGAAAAGAGATACGCAATCCCAGCTATGATTCACGAATTGCCGCCCTGATCTTGGCCCCTTTGGGCCCATTGTGTTGGTGCCGCATTCAACTTTTGAACCTTAACCGCAGGTTGAGTGGAGTCTGCGGGTCAGACAACCAGAACACAGCCGAAAAACATGGCATACAAGCAAAAGATGAGCTCAAAGGCGGCACAGCATGATATCATTGTTGTGTTTTATTGTCTCCGGCTGGCTTGTCCATCACTTTCGCAGGAAATGAGGCAAGCACCAGGCTCTAGGGACGGGGCCAGGCAAAAATTCCATCATGGAGAGGAGACCTTTGGAACATGCCGCGACTTATAATTAAATAATAAATTTGAATGCTCAGCAGCAGGCAGGCAGGCAGGCGGTTCCACTTAATAATCAATTGACATTTAGCAAAGAATTTCAAATGTATGGCAGGCTGTCGAAATTCGCACAATTTCAGTTTTATTAATGACAGACAGGCTGCTCGAGGGTCTGCAAACATGTGCTACCGATTGACTTTCGAGCGTTACAATTTCAAATCTCAAGAGATCCACGACCAAGTCGACCCATCTGTGAACAATTTCGAGCTAAAGCTAAAGATGGATCCCCTCAGATCTGGCAGGGAAAATGTAAGTCCTGTGATCGTTTCTCATTTGTTTAAGAGATGCTGCGGATCAAATAAATATGTCTAGCACTATCAAATGTAATAAATCCATGCAAAAACATTCATTCAGCTACTGCAAGACATTCTTTGACATTACAAAATGGTGAGGAAACTGCTCTGGACACCGCTGTTCGAAACTATTATTAATATCTGATGTGGTAACAGCTTAAGAAGGGAAACGAAATATCGTTTAATAATAAATGAAGAACATAATTTGCTGAATCTTCGAACTAGATGATCTCCGACTTAAGATTGAACCAAAATTGTATTTCCTCAACGAGATTCTGCTTTAGTTTTCGCCGGGGGGTGCAGTACCAATAAAAATGAAGGAATACAATCAAATGTTGTTATCTGTAAATGAATCACTGGACGTCGCTTAATTGGTGATCCAATTCAAAAGAGAGCGACAGAGAGAGAGAGAGAGAGGGAGGGAGGGATTCATATGGCGAATGAGTTTCTGTGTCTGTACTTTGCTCAGTGAAGAAACAAAATAAAAAGAAATTGGTTAGCTCGTTCTGATAAGATTAGATTGCCTGAAAACTCCCCAAAGCATTCGCCTCGCGTCGAAAGTCTTGCACGCGCGGCACGGAGAGAATTGCATTTCCGATAGAAAATATTGCGAATAATAAACGGGGAATGGGCATGGCTCCGTCTCAGGGTCAGACAATAGACACCGACTTTCCTTTAGTCAAATCCAATTAATAATAATAAAGCCGCAGCCACTTGGGCAACTGACTTTCAATTGTTTGCTCTGCCCTCCACCCACAGTCCACAGTCCACCTACAGCCTTCTCCGTCTCCTTCTCCTGATCAGGTTCAATGGAAAAGTATCAACGTTTTTTTTTTGTTTTCTCGTAATAAATGTGGCCTGCTGGTTGAGGTGGCTGCTGCCTCTGACGGTTGACCAAGTGGCCTCATGGCAATTTACTTTCTAATGCCAGGAGAAAAGTCATGGCATGAGGCCAAGTCAAAGCTTATTTTTGTTTAATACTTTAACGAATTAAATAGCTATGGAAATGCGATATCTATTGGTCTATTTAGCAGATAACATTTTGTATTAATTAATCAAACAAATCGCAAATCTTTCATTATCTCTGCGTTTCCCACATGGTTCTTCGAGTGGAATGTTAAAGTGTTTTGTGCGTCTGGGGACTGTAATTTGCATTGCAACAGCTTCAAGATATTTATCCGTGCTCTTTTTTCTTTCTGGCTTACAATTAGCTGCCTCTTCCCGCTTCGAATTATAAAACAATCAATATTCGGTGAATGAATAATGAATGAATCGGGAAGCGATAGACAGACAGTCCGCAATTAACTTAATTACAGGCGTTTCGGCTTTCGGCTTTCGGCGCGATTACTAAACCAATTACAGATGATCGAGCGGAACAAGAGTTGTGTAATTTTACACAATTTATTTTGGTGCCTAGAACTTAACGTTAATTGCCCTCGCATGTGACCCTGAACTGTTGAATATCGATGTGGGCAGGCAACAAAAACCACCCTTATCGACGAATGCAATTCAAGGGGATGCTCTTCAGCAGGATTCACTTGTGCGACTGCAATAAAGGTAGCAAATATGCACTCTGACAAAATAATCAATATTATCCCATGGATTATCTCTGCCCTTAACATCTATTCAGGCACATCCATCATAGTCTGGTTCCCAGGCAGCTTTGTAGTTCCTCTGAATGGCATTCCGCAATAAGGCACAAACCGCAGAGCCAATCGATGCCCCATTCTTCAATTATCTTACACACGGCTGGCCGTTGCGTAAGGCCCACATCGCCACATATGTGGGTTGGACTCGGACAAAAGGTTCCTCCGCATAAAGGTCTGGGCTCTAAATGTCACTCTTGCTTTCATCTTTTGTTTGCTCCCGATGAAGTGAAAGAGAAAAATTATAAATGTTTATGGCCAGCGATTTGGAATTAAAGCAGACAAATAGACAAAACAAATTTGTAAAATATTCAGAGTATGCAAATTGGCCAGCAAATTAAAATAGTTTCAAGCCGAAGCAAAACTAAAGCCAAAGTCAGTGCCACCGAAGTGCTCCTCGGAGTGTGTCTCAGCTTCTCGGCAGAGTATCTGTATCTGCATACTGCTGCTCGTCAACAGGTTGAATTGTTGTTTATGGGCATATTGCTGGTGTTGTTTTTCACTCGCGGCCGGCTTTGAGAAATGTGAAAGATGAAAGCGTAAATGCTGATTAAAGATTGTTTCTTTCCATATGCATGTATACATATAAATTTATATTGTAATTTAAGCGTCGTATGGCAGTATGCAAAGTGAAAGAGCCAGCAGCAGCAGCACCAGAGACTGTGCCAGAGCTGGAGTCAGTCAATCAGACGGTCGGTTAGTCGGTTAGTTGATAACAGAGATACAGCACCCGCTGCCTTGCTGTCTAATTTCACAGTCATCAAGTCATCGAGTCAGCTCCAGCGAGAAAGCGAGAGTCTCGATTACAGTTTAGTCTCGCCTGCGCAGTCATCGCGGACTCCGTGCAAAAATCTCCCTCAAGGTGAATTAGCCCCAACGCCCGCGCCCACACCCCACTCAAAAGTAAATGTGTCAAAAGAAATTTGATAGCTGAATTTATGGAGTTGGTAAAACAATTATTTGCTTGAGCGATTCTAAAAACAGACTTGGAAGAAGCTTTTTCCGCGTGGCTTGCATATTTCTGTACGCACCTTTCTGAGCCTTTTCCATATGGAAGTGTGAACCATTTATGTCTTTTTTTCTGCCTGCCCCACTCGACACAATTTTGTTACGGAGTCAATAGCCTGATCCAGCACACGAATACATAAGTAAATGTACAAGCGATAAGATAAGAACACGAAAAGCAGCTCTTTCGCTGGCGCATTTACTAGCTTATGGCTTTTGGCATTTGCCATTTTCGATTGCGTTTAATTGCATCAAAATGTATTTATAAATATGGAAAGCTGTAGGTGGTGTGTGGTGTGTGTTGTGTGGTGTGGTGCCACTGCCGCCCCACATTGTGGGGCACTGGCAAGTGTCATCGCAACAAGAGATGAAACGCCGAGCAAGAGTTTTGGATTATCGTTTGATTTATTGGACTTTCAAAACAAATGTCTGCCGGAGTGCGAGCTACGGCAAAGCGTTTAACAACGTTTCATATCCAAAATGCAGTCCGAATTTCGTAACGAACAAGACAGATGCAAACTGCACAGGTGGACAAGTTTATAGGAGAGGCCCAACAAAATACACACAAAAAGAGGCAAACCTACTCTTGTGGAACTGCGATTGGGTTCAGGTTCGGGCTTATGTCATTTGCTGTCATTATGGAAATATTATTATATTAATTTGACCCCAAAACTGGAGCAGCAACAACAATAGCCAGCAATTATATGTGGCTCTGTGTCTGCCAAACGATGTGTCAGACAGAAAAGAGCTTCGGGTGGGGTCCCCCAAATGGTCTAATCCGAGGCGAACATAATGCCCTCACATAACGCCACAAATTCCAAATAGATCCAACCACAAAATCGGTTGCAAAATCGAAATGATTTTGGTATTACGGAAAGGGGAACCTGATACTAGAGTCTCCGCTCTGGGCTATGAAAATTCCAGGAAAAATGTCTGCTTAAGGTCGGACTCTGACTAAAGATGCGAACTTCAAGATGAAATTAAAAGCAAACTCTGGGATTGTTCAATAATTAAGTGAAATGTGGAAATGTCATTGTTTTATTTTCCCTTTGGTAACTCTGCGTTTAGCCCCTCACCCGCCCAGAGCTACTGCCACAAAAAACGAACAAAAAACTGATGCACTTTGTTGTACAATTTGTGTGTTTGGCTTTTCTAGTCTCTAGTTTGGGGCAGTGTTTATGTTTTGGTACCATTATTTTGGGTGTAATTATTTAAACATTAAACCAGTCGAGCGACTGCCATGACTTCTGTCCGTCTGTCAGTTTTTTCAACGGTCACTGCCATTGCAGAGAAAACAAGAGAGTCACAGACCAAGCGATGAAATGGAATATCATCATCACCCATCGGCGCAGTCCGAACCCGAAGGTAAAGGGATTGTTTCTGGCTGACGCTTTCTACGTAGATTGCTGGGGGGAATTTCTTTGATTACTCGCCGGGAGAAATTTGTTCGCAGCGGAAGAACAGAATTAAAGGGGAAGAATAAACTTAACGAAACAATAATCAACAGCTGACACGTAAAGAGGAGAGAGAGAGAGAGAGAGAGAGGGAGAGAAAGGAAAATGGAAAAGTGCAGAATGAGAGAACCTACCACAACATTTTCCCGATTCTCTTGAACTGCGCATGACTTGACCTGACCTTGGGGGAAGCGGCAAAAAAAAATACAACAAACTTTCACTGCGAGCATTTTCCGCATCTTGCTGCTCGCCTGGTGGAAAACGTAATGGCGAGTTTGTGTGTTGACAGATTCAAGCGCCAATTTGGCCAAGAATTTATTGAGCCACCAGCACGGGCAGCATGGGCATCTCCCGCTCCCACTCGCACGGACGACCTCTTGCAGCGACGGCTGCGCGCCTAATCGAGGCGCCATAGGGCGCGGCGACATGACGGCGCCGCCGACGCTCCCGTCACCGCGGCACCTTCTCCCACGACATTTGATAGTCGTGGTCGTGGTCGTGGTCTCCATGGTCCATAGTCTGCACATCACAATCAATGATTCGTTGCGCCGGGCGATGCGGTTGTCAGAAGCTGATAGAGCGCGATTCCGAACTCAAAGGCGGGCCCCAAACCGAAATCAAAATCGAAGACAGAAGACAGAAGACAGAAAATGGTCGGCAAGTTGAAAGCTTTCAGAATGTAAGCTGCCAAACGATTCCCTCGAGTTTTCAGCGCTGATTTTCACACGTTTTAATCGCTTTGAACCTGCTCGGATAACACCGAAACATAAACAAAAGACGAAAAACCCATTAGAAGTTGCCAGCATCTGTGGTATCGCTGTAATAACTTGTTTGAGCAGACTAATTGACGCTGCTGGCTCTTTCTGTCTGTCTGTCTGTCTGTCTGTCGGTTAAAGGTAACAGACACCTTTGATATCTTTTATAGCTTAATGGGTTTGATTTTAGCTTCTAAATTGGTGGTAATCAAGGTGTCGCAAGGTCTGCCTTCGTCATCTATTTGCCCCGAAGAACGTTGTTAGATTTCATCTTTCTGCTGAGAACTCCAGACGAGTGTTCCATCTTCCTTATGGGACTGTAACACTGAAAGTTCTTTCCACTCGCAGCTGAACATTTTAATTAATATTTCCAACCAACTTCCTGCATCTGAGTATGCGAATGCCCTTAAGAATAAATACCCAACGCTGGCTAATTGCTTCTCCGCGTACAAAACACATGTAAGAAGCCACAGAGACTTGCCACTAGCCATACAGAGATAGATCAACAACCAAGCACTGAAGCTTGGAAATGCAGTAGAATGCTGAGGCATTCCGGGACCCAAAAGTCACATGAAAGATCTTTAATGTGTGATGTGTGTGGGACGGGCCACACGTGAGCGAAGATCCCTGTCTAGCCACCACACAGACAGATATATTTTCCAATTAACGTGGCTTATCTAAAAGTCTAAAAGTCAGTCACAGTCTCCAGCATCGAATGATTCAACAATTAGCTGGGACACGTTCTGAAGATCGGAGGGGACAGATCTGAAGATCCCTCATCAATTACAGAAAAATGAAGGAGGCAAAAACTGGAGAAACAAATACCAAGCACCAGCCACAAAAGAAAGTGAAAAACAGACATCTACGAGCATAGCTAGATAGATGTGGATGGGACCTTCTTCTTCATGGGAGTCGCCGTTTACACTTTCCCAAGACAACACGCAATCAGACGGAGAAGCGGACTGGAGAAAAACCTCAATCAAAGCGGGCTGCATAACTTAAATGCAGAGGTCATCATTGGATCCGTTGTGTGGGTTGTTTGTTTGGAAAGCGGTGGAAAGATGCCAATGCCATGCCCATGCCAGATGCCAGATGCCCAGATGGATGGCACACGGAAACGCACATCACAGGGCACTGTCCGAAAATAAATGGACCCACAAAAAGAAAGAAGCTAACTGTAGCTTATTAAGTGAAAATGAAAGCTTTTGCTGGCCAGAGAGAGAGAGAGAGAGAGAGAGAGCGAGAGAGAGAGAGAGACCCCCGGTTCCCCCTGGTTAAAGCTAGACCCAAGTCCCCCACTGTGCACAAGTACTTTGGGGCTGATCTCCAACCTCTGTTGGAAGAGTTGTAAAAGAAAAGGTACGACTGAGAGCAGCGGAAAAAATATAAGTATTCCTCTCCTTCTCGAATATATTAATTCTATTCCCTAAAGTAATTATTTTTCAAACTTTTATCCCCCTTTGTTCCCTGTTTAGCGTGAGTTTTCATTTCATTTTTCGCCTATAAGTTGAATAAATAAATTCCAATCATTAAAGGTTCACAAACTCATATGAATCAATCTCGTACATGAATTTGTATGTATAAATATGTACCATGTAAACGCATCTGAGCGATTCTATGTACACATTTACATACAAAAATCAGATAAGAAATATAATTTGTATAGGAATCAACAGAGCGGAATAAACTCAATCAAAATAAACCCAATTGTTGCTCTCCAATGTGTATAAAATATTCCAAACTTTCAAGCGAGAACCTAACTTTAGCTCCCTTTTTGTCACGTTTTTCCCACCCCAAGAACTATTTCGCTTACCTCTCTCAATGGCTGCATTGCTGTCCACGCTGCTGGTGGCGCTGTCATCCATTTGCGGCTGCTTCTGCTGGGACTCCTCCTGCTCCTGGGATTCCACGAGCTCTGGCAGCCGCTCCGCTCCAGAGAAGTGCACGCTGCCATCGCGATGGAAGTGCAGTTCGAAGCGGGTGGGTAGGTCGGCCTCGTAGTCCCCGCCGGACTTGTGCGCCTGGGCAGCCACCTTGTAGTAGAGGGAGGCGAACTGGTAGATGAGGGCCCAGGCCTGGTCCTCGGAGAGCGGGGCCTTGAATGAGTCCAGTATGTTGTTCAGGGTGACGCACTGCTCCGGACACGAGCACTGGTGGAAGGCGTGCCGAAGCAGCTGGCGACTGCCGCCAGGCTGCAGGCCGCCGTTTCCATTCTGAGTTTTGGCAGCTCCTTTGGAGTGCGCGTGTGAGATGGTGTGAGTGTGAGTAAGGTTATGGGCTTGCTGGGCACTGTCGCCGTTGGCACTGTCCGGCGAGGTGGAGAGGAAACCCTCCTCGGCCTCCGAGAACTTGGCCTTGGGCGCAGCCATGGCCTTGGACTCGGATACGCTCTGCGTCGCGTCGGCGTGCACGTCCATGTGATGCTCCGTCATGGCTCGCCTGGGTTGCCTATCCAGACTCTGGTTCGGATGCAACGGTCCAAGTCTCTCCTGCACCCCTCCACATATAAGGAGATTGCTTTGCTCTGGCTTAGCCCGGAATTGCTGCGGCTCCACACGATCGATGGCAGGTCGCAGGTTGGCAGGTTGGCAGGTTGTAGGTCGAGTAAATACGCGATTATCCTACTGTTGTTCGGGGTAACACTGAACAGATATGGGACACACAGAAATTGATTTTCTCTCACAAACAATTGACACACAAAAATATTACGGGTACGGGTACATAAGTGTGTGTGTGCTTGTCAAATCAGACACAGAACACTTAGTATTTTAGATTACGAGTAACACCAAAAGGAATACTAGACGAAAACGAAATTGAAAAGCAGAGCGCAGAGCACAAGAACTATGCTGGGGCGCTGTCGTCACGTTTTTATGCACTTTGCACGGTTGCCGTTATGTTTGCCTATTGCTCTTTGCGGCACTTTTCTTTTACTTTGCTTTGGTTTGCTTAGCTCTGGCTTATTTTAACCGCTTTGCTTCTCCTGTTTTGAATTTCACAACACTGAGCTGAGTAACTATTTGTTTAATTATTTTGATTTTTCATCAGCTGCTAAACAATATCACGCGCACTAATATTTGTTTACATTATTTTAATCAGAAAATCACTCTGAATTTTATGTCAAGTGCATGTTTAAATATTTTCATTAAACGCTGTCGCTGTCGCCGATCCGCTTGCCGTGTCCGCTCGGTTGAGAGAAAAATTTTAAACAAGCGCGCCAGCTGAAGCAAAAGCACAAACGGAGCCAAAAACCAAAGACGAGAGAGAGCAAGCGAGAGACAACCGAGAGAGATAGGGAGAGTGAAAAAGCCGCTTGGCTTGGAAAACATGTTTCAAATCCAACCAGTGATGGCAACTCTACTGGATAGGTAAACAAGCCATTGAAAAAAGCTAGAAATAGCTAACACATTTTTAATGACCGCTAAAAAGAAAGGCTGGAGTAGTGAAAATATGTGTTGCACCTGCATGTTAGTCGGCAATTATATTCCTCCCTTGTATGGTATACCGCATATGCCTATTGCAAACCGCTAGATCTAGTCAGAAAATAGCTAAGCTGGCAACACTGAATTCAACAAATGTCCGCTCAGCTGTTCGCTCGCTCACTCACTCTCTCTCTCTCTCCTCTCTTTGCTTTTCTATTTTGATTCCGGTTTTCGTTGTGTTTGCGCTTCGCTTCGTTCAGCTGATAAGAGCTTTTGCCTGTCTTTGCTTTAAACTTTTCATTCTGTTTCTGTTTGGTGCTGGGGGGTCTGAATATTTTGATTCGCCGATTCCAAGAGCGATTCGTGTTAAGGTCAGACGAAGTCCGAAGTGAGCGGAATTGTTGCTCTCTGGGCCACTGTCGCCATAAGGCTGTAAAAACTCTTTGGGACTGGCGGAAATGGCCGGGTTATTAACTGGACGGATAATTAGATACGAGTTGGTGCTCATAGTTGATTACATTTGGGTTATTTTTAGGGTTTACTAAGAAAAACATTGAGCTGTGCACTTAATTTGAGCAAATATATGTTCCACCATGGTGGCTCTATCAAGAGGTTGAAAGATTTCATGTGGAGAACTAATTTATTGTTACTAGAACTGATGGATGAATGTTATCTTATTAAATGCTCTAAACACACAAAGTTAACTTCTAGAATGGAAATGGGCGGGGTCCAAGTTGGGTCACCTTTTCAAGGTCCTTGGGGACATTGGAAAACCGCGCAACATCCAACATCCCAGCATCATTTGTAAGGGATCTCGTCGCATTTTTACGAGATAATAAGCCCCATAAGTACGGGCGACCAAGTTATGATATATGAGCCGTAAATTGAAACTTTATATCAATGCCATGCCGACTTGCTTGTTGGGGGAAGATTTGCATACAGTGTTATAGGTATTACAGCATCACCATCACTGGGTATCGGGAATCAGGCATCTGCGGTAAACTTTAACGACTTGTTTTTGCGCGTTAATAAAAAATAAAACACAAACAAAATGCATCTCTCTCTGTACGTGCATTTTATTAATTGGCAGCAACTGCTGCCGAAGAGTCCGAGACCGCTCTGGGCCCACGTAATCATCGAATAGCCATAAAAAGTGTGTCCTCAACTAGGTAGCAACGCGCAGCTGGCCACGCATATCCCCTGACGGCGACGATGACAACACCATGCAGAAGCTGTTGGTACACCATCGACAATCACCATCCATTGCCACAGATATGGCAATTTTTATGTGCCAATCGCTAATGAATTAATTAGCCAGCCACCCATTTGCATTGGGTTCAATTTCTATAAAAAATAATACTCCGCCAAACGGGCACCTGGTCAAGTTCCGAGCGGAGTTCAATAGCCGCCGCGCCGGCGAACTTCAACCCACAACCGGCCAATCGCCATTGCTGCTGTCTTTGTTCTTGAACAATATGAGAACTTGCCTGCCGTGTGAATCATTCACAATTCGAACACACACGAAATGCAACCCGCACACAATGGGGCTAGATGTACTCGAAGTTATGATGACCCGTAAAATGGAGCACATTCCTTTGATATTTCCGGTTTTGGATAGGACCAATTCATAATTTAACATTGATCATTTAATGGCTGTGAGCTCTTCACGCTTCATGCTAAATATAATCATTATCTAGAACTAAATCTCCGCTGAAATCTGTGACTTTCCACTACTTAGAATATATGTCAAAATATCTATATAAATTCTGACTTTAGTAGAAGTATTTGGCTAGTCGAAACTCTCGGCGTTGTTGGCGGCTGTTCTGCCTGGGCGGTGCAACCAAGCGTAGCATTTTTGGTCAATTTTGTACATATTTACATATGTAAATACATATACATACATACATTTGTCGCGCGGCTGACTCCAGCTCGCAATTCGCTATTGGACTTTCAGCTGTCCAGCTTGATCGAGTGCGGGTGTGGGCGTGTGGCTCCGTGCATTGTGTGTCATGCAACGGCGCGGCGTCTCCCTTCACTCCAACCGGAAACGTGCATCCGTTTCGTGTAGGGCTCGATCTCCACCCCGTTAAATGCAGGCTTCTGACTGAGTAGTCAGATTCTAAGGCATCAAGTTTGCCGAATCTGTGCCAGACGCAAGTGTAAGCCGAGTCAGACGAGGTCTATCCCAGTTTGGCTGCAGATTGCGTACGATTGCCACATGGTGCTGCAACGTTGTAGCTGTTGCTGCAGAGGATGCAACGCTTCGTTGCGCCTGACACTTTGCTCACTAAATTGCATAAAGTGCACAAAGTTTCGAGGAAGCCACCAAAGCAGTCATCAAATGGCAACATAGAAAATGGATAATAATGAATATCTGCGGCTGTGGCTGTGGCTGTGGCTGCAACGCCCTTATGGAGGGTTGCTTCGCTGTGTAATAAATGCTGTTTATAAAGTAAATGAAACATTGCTTTAAGTATCTACAATACAGCAGCTGTCAGGCACTGTTTTGATTGGACTTCAGTAGCTGGAAATATAAAGAAAAAACCATTCCCAACCCCATGTGAGTGTAATTAAATGTCTTCTAGCTGCGAGTTGCATTCTTCCGAAATGGTTATTGTTGTCACAGCTACCGCGTAGCGTTCATTAAAGAAAATGATCAAAACCTGCCAGTCAGACGTTCCCTCCAGCCGTCAGAGTCGGTGACGAAGATGAAGTTTGGAGTTGGAGTTGGAGTTGCAGTTGGAGTCCACCGCTCAGGGCTGATCCCAACTCACGTGTGGAAATCATGGCAGCTAATGTGCATTATATTTCTTTGCTCTCCGTTATTGTTGTTGCTATTAGCGTTGTTATTTCTGTATCTATCCTCTGTCCCCTCAATTGTGTAATATTCTGCCGCTCCAGGTGGGGCTGCTCTAAAAACGTGATGCAATTAGACCTCAGAGCAGGCGTAGCCCCCGGCTGCGGCAGTTCAAGAGCGTACAAAGGCAGGAGAAGCTCAAACTCTGGGGTAAAAACAGTGTGAAAAGGGTGCCCAGAGTTATGATTATCGTACGTGTTCGTTCTTCTAGCTCCGCTCACATCGGTGTAATCAATTTTTTCATGTCTTCATTATTGTTTTGATTTCTGTTTCCGAGTGTGAGAATTTTGTGCATGATTTAATGGGTTCCGGAGGCATGAGAATGTTTAGAAGTTGTACATTGGCTGCAGCTAATTGTTGCTTCCTAAGGGAAAATTCGAAATAAATATAAGCAAAAATGACACAAAGCTGGGGTGAACTTTCCCTAGATGCTGATCCCACGAGCTATTACTGTAACCATCTGTAATTGAGAGACAGTTTCTGCTATCTTGACACCCATTCCTCATCACACCTTTCGTGTACCACATGTGGCACATTGACCCAAGTGCCAAATACCAGACCAGCTAACCCAGAAAGCAAAACCCCCCGGAAGCCACGAGCAGAGTGTCTCCGAGATATTTTCTATTTCCATTGGGGGGGGCAAAAGCAGAATCCACTTCAATTACTACAATAGGCATTATTTTTGTTTGCTATAAAACACACATTTTTCAGCGGCTTAAATGTATCGGAAGACGCAGAGAAAAGGCCGTGCTCAAGTAGACGTGACAAGAGACAAAAGGCAGGCAGGGCCCGAATAGAAGCTTGCGATTTGGCATGCCCAGTGAAAGCAGCGAAGAATTACTCGTACTAATGGTAGGAATGGAAATCGCAGAACGATTCCTAGCAGCGCTCCAATTTTGTGTTCACGTAATTATTTCAGGTAACTCCGAGACTCCATTTAAACGGTAGGGCAACGGCAACGGCAACGTATTAAAACTAAGTGCCACTTAGTGCCTGCCCAAAAGCTCTTTATTTTGCCAGAACTTGCGCAAAAAGCCCTGACAGACAAAGAGATTGTCTCTCTCTCTCTCTCCCTCGCTCTCTCCCTAGCTTTAGTCCGTCGTACTCGTAGTTCGTTGATCATTTTGCCATGCAATTTCTAAAACGTGATTCGTGCAGAGACAAAATGCCACACTCCAACTGCAACTCCAACTCCAACTGCAACTGCAACTCCTCCTCGCCCAGTGGAGACCATTAATATAATTTGTGTCTGGAGCTATTTTTGCTCAGACTTGCAGCCTCGTCCTAAACGATTATGAGCTCTGATGTTGGGAAAACATGCCACAGTTTTCCATATCGCATTGTTGGCTGACGGCTGACGGCTGATGGCTGACGGCTGACGGGGTCACAGCACCCCCAAAGCACCTCCCTGCCATTCAGATCAAATGGAACCGCTGATCGTGTCGTGTCGTGTCGTGTCGTCGGTCGATCGATTGCCGTTTTCCCGGCCTCTTGGCCTTCGTATTTTATGTGTGTTTTGGTGTGTGGGCTTTCCTCTTATTTATTTTCAGAATTGTCTACGCTTTTTATTGGATGGCGCTTAATTTTTATTAGCGCGCAACCGAAATGACTTTTACATGGGAACAAATGGCCCAACAGCGCCGGGAGGTTGGCGTGTTGACAGTCCACCAATAAATTCAAGTCAGATTCAAGTGCGGTGTTCCCTTTTTGGCAGTGGAAAATTAAAGGGGAAACACAAGTCGTGTGGGTGGATATAAATGGGGATTCAATTGAGATCTTTACCCCTGTTTTGTTCATCTAAAACTGAAACTGCGCGAAACTGAAACTCAAAAATTATTATCTAGCACTGGATCAATATTTGTTTGTTTTTCAGTAAAAAATAATGAAAATATTTATTTTTCAACAATTCATTTATGAGTTTTAAAGTTGATCTCATAATTATTTCCCACTTATTTGCTGTTTATTCCGCAGTGACATTCGTTGCTGCATAAATATAGAACTGCGCTCCTGTCCAGCATCTTTCCACATTGGCTGCCCCCCCACATGCTGCCCCATCCCATTGGCCATTAGCCGCGGGACACAGCCCAGCAAAGGCGGCTCACAAGTGCCGACAACAGGTTGGGGCGACACTTTTATGTTATTCAGAGAAAACTTAAAGTCTGCGGTCTGGGGTCTGGGGAGGCGACAAATCAGCGAGGATCGAGCCACGATCTGCGGTCAAAGTGACCACCGGGCAGCGACGCGATCGGTGGTCATAAAGCAAATTCTTTATGGGGCGACATCGACTTGGACTACGACTGCGATAATGAAGATCTCGCCAGAATGTTCTCTCTTTTCGAGCAAGGAATAAAGTCGCTGATGGGAGCCAAGCGACGACTTGGAAAGCGTTGGACCCCACCAAAAAGAAGCTGGAAAGAGAGAGTGAGAACAGACCAGATCGGTCCCTGTTGGGGTACTCGAATCGGCTCCAAGCGGCAGGCGCACTTTCATTTTCAGCTCCCGCCGCATAATTAATTGCGACCGAAAGTGGACAACGATTTTTCGTGGCAGCAGAAAGTAAAATGTTGCCCCCAAGCTGCAGCCCGCGCTCCTTCGCAGGAACAACGAACCTGTCGACCGATCGACCGATCGACCAGCAAACCGGATCAATGCCGGACCGGGCAACTTTCTTCTTGCGGCTTCTGACACACTAAACTGACGCAACGCAACGTGTGGCAAGTGCAACAAGTGCAGATCAGAGCACCGCCAACGTGCAACGTGCAACGCCCACGAGGAAGGCAGCTTCCTTGCCAGCAAGAAATGAGTTTTCAATGGCCTGGGCGAGGGGCAGCCGCATGGCGGGGTGCATGCCTCATTCACACGATTCAGTTGGGAATCGTTCCCTATAAGTTTTTGCCTGGCAGCTCGGGCATGTTGGCTCCTGCCAAAGCGCAGAACTGGACTCCGATTCGGTTGCTAGCTAAATCTACTCGGAGATTGTAGATTCAGCGTGGAAAACTTTCATTTGTTGCCTGGAAAAAACATCTAAAAATCACTTAAAGGGCGCCACAAAGTCGTCGACCCACGCTCGTGGACATTCGACTGCGGCACCGATCGACAGTCCACTGGCTGACAGAACCAGTTTAATGGCACATGAAATTTCTCCCAAAACAAAAATCATCTGTGAATCTCCCAGCTCCTAGCTCGAGGAGGGGACACAGGCAGGCGTGGCCAGTTGATTTGCTTAAAAAGAAATTCACTTTCCTTCGACGATTTTTACTTTTTGAAGACTCTTTTATGTCTCTTTGCTCCATGCTATCCCTGCAAGGCGAAGAAGGTCACGCCGTGTTGTAGATCATGAGGATCGGATCCGACAAGGCACAGACCACGGGAGGCTGCTGACTGCCGACTGCTGCCCGCTGGATACTGAATGGTGGATGGTGGCTTGTTCGCTTGTTGTCTTGGTCAAAGTCGCAGGCTAAGGCTAAGGCTAAGTCTGAGCTGTGGCTGCGGCTGCGGCTGCGGCTGGGACTAACAAACCCAACAAAGCAACAATCGCACAATTGAATGCAATGCAATGCCTTGCATTGGCAATGAGCGCAGAAATACTTTTAATGAAAGTTGGCACTTTGCTTTTTGGGTTTTCGTTTAGTTTTGTTGGTTTTTCAGCTTTTGATTTGTGGCCTGGCAACCGGGGAAAATGCTCAGACTTGTGGCAGCCACAGGCCAAAAAGCTGCGCTGGGCGGAGGAGGTGTTTGCAGAGGCTAATTGGCTGTGGACAATGGTTGTGGTTTAGTGTGGCAGCCACTAGGCTGGCTCTTTCCTGCAGCTAGCTAAAATGTTCTTCCATTAAGACTGAAGATCTGTGCGCTTTATTAACAGCGCTTTTCATGACACGCTGTTGCTGAGCTTTGACTGCAATTTGTTACATTTTTCGTGTACTTTTGTTTCTTGTGCGGGTGTACAGTTGGTGGGTGTGTGTATAGTTGGATCCCAGTAAAAGAATCTCTCCTCAGAAGTCACCGTTTAAAAGTTTACAACGTGTGGAGGGACATCAAGTCCCAAGTGTCTGCATTTAGTTTTTTTCATCCTTCGTTGGCGGCGGATGATCCCCCTCGGCCGGCGCGGACTCCTCCTCCTCTACGATGCCGTTGTGCAGCTTTGACCAACGTGGAATTTGAAAGAGTGCCCAAAAGGGTATGATCATCATGACCAGCAATGAGCCGCCGCCCAAAATCAACTTCTTACCGGGCGACATGGGGAATCGTGGTGGACCCGCAATTGGGGCATGGTGACGCACTTGAGTCACGTGTCCCGCCCTTTTGGGTAGCAGCAGTTGCCGCCGCATCAAAGTAAAACTCATGGCGAACTCTGTGCAAAGAAAGCCGTGAGGCAAACACAAAAAATATTTTAATAATTTAAGCAAAAAACTTACACAGCTGCTGTCTCGCCTGCCGTAGAAAAGTGAAAATGAGACTGTAAATCAAACTCACAGCTGAACTGACAGTGGCCAGGCCTACTGCCATTTGACGATGATGAGACAGGAGACCAGGAAACAGTTTGGACAATTGGATTTATTAACAAATTAGAATTTGCTTTCCCGCCCAGCAGTAACAGTGCTGGAAAGCGGCGGGCCATCAGCTGATCAGGCTTAGTCGTAAATATCGATAAAGCTGCAAAGGTATTCGTTTGTTTTTCGTACATTGAAATAAAACACAGAAATGTAAATAAATGAACAACATTCTTCGTTGTTTGCTTGTAACTTATAAATTTATATTGCATTATTCGACAGCGACAACTATCGATAGTGAACCAAATTGCATCGATAGGTGGCCAGCTCAGCTCTAATAAATATCTGTTTCAAACAATAATAAACAAAAATCGGCGAAAATGAATGAAAAGTCCACAGGAGATGTCGCCTACGAGCGCAAGCAAGGGTAAGTAAACCCCAAGAATATGTGCGGAATACTAATATCACATTTGCAGTGGCCCCCAAAGCGACACACACCAAGCACGCATTACGCAGATTGAGGAGTTCATTAACGAAGTTCTCAAACGCGACCTGAGGGAGCTGGAGGACTGGATTGGGCAATACAACCAGGAGATCATGGAGTTTGTCCAGCTGAAGAACACCCTGCAGACATTCGACGCCCACCTGCCAGAGGGATACAAGACCCAAGTGAACATTGGCAGCAACGTGTTCATGCAGGCGCGCGTCACGCAAATGGACAAAATCCTGGTGAACGTGGGCAAGGACGTGTTCCTGGAGATGAGCATGCCGGAAGCGGAGCACTTCAGCGACGTGCGCATCAAGATACTCACCAAAGAGGCGGACGTGCTACGCGATGAGAGCATTAAGAAGCGAACCCAGATCAAGATGTCTCTGCTGGCGATAGGCGAGCGGGAGAAACTGATGCAGCAGGAGGCGCGCCAGTGAGCAATCGCCGCTCGGATAGGGACAATATGTAGATAGTTTTACACCAGCAAACAGCTTACTTCATTTCAATTACAAATTACAGAGACAATTTACAATTTACGCAAAATTTAATGTACACAATGTTGGCCGAATGGTAGATGAGATTTAACTGAAACTGAAATGGACTAGGGATTCGGATGCTGTTCGAGCAATGGGCTATCCGAGGATTGTGTGTTCCGTGACAGGGATGGACTTTCCTGCTCCTGCTGGGCGCCTTTCCGCAAACTCGTCTGGTCATTGAGCATTTTGGAGTGGATGGCAAGGCGCTGCGATGTATTGGCCAGACTGCGCAGACGTGCAGACATTTGCTGTGAGAAAAAAACATTTAATTGATTCGGGCAGAACTCAGCCATCGCTCCACTCACTTCGTCGCCCATATGTGGGGGCACGCGGGCACAGTCCGGCGACGTCGTTTGAGGGGATGTGGTGGTGCGTTGGATGGCCTGCTTGACCCTTTGTATCTCAGCTTCCAGTAGGGAATGGTCCCGGTGCAGGGCCCTGTACTCATGGACCAGCGTCTGATTCTCTTCCACGAGCAGACTGATGTGCTCCTCTGCCCGCTTCTCGCACCGGCGCCTTGCCTCGTCCGCCCTGATCTGTGCATCCTTCCATTGCCGAAACGAACTGATGATCTCCTCCTGCTGTTGGTTTACCTCCGCCTGCTGCCTGTCAGGAGTCCACACGGAATCTGCTCTTAGATTGATGTACATCCATCCAGACGGCATACTTACTTCAGCTTTCCCCTCATCCGCTGGCACTCGCACTGGAATTCCCGCATCTGCTGGTTCATTGTGATGTTGGCCACCTCCAGCTGCTCGACGACCTCGCGATGCCTTTGCTTGCCCTGTTTCAAGTGATCCTGCAAGTTTTTTATAACTTGCCGCGAATTGTTTAGCTCCTTTTGGGTGAAGTTCAGCTGATCGCCAAGCGCCCGCTCGCGTCCTGCGGCTGTGGCCTCCTTCTCTTTTAGCGCCATGATCTCCTCGCGCAGCAGATTACGCTGAAATAAGCGCCTTGTTAGTGGGAATATTTCAGATTAATATTGAGAATCGTTTTCCCACCTCTACTGTGACCTCCTCCAGCACCTTCTCCCCCTGAGAGACTGACTCCTCTAGGCACTGCTGGCGCTTTTTGGACTTCTTCAGCTCCTTGCACTGATCCTCGTAGGTCCGCTCGAGCTCCTCGTGCTCTTTGCAGAGTTCCGCGCGCAGCTCTTCACGGCTCTTGAGCAACGTGGTCAACTCACGCAACTTGTGTTGCTGTGCACCTGCAACGGAAGCGATTAATTTTCGGACTAACTATCGTCTCGCCACTGACTGTGTGTCTGCTTGAGGCTGTAAATCTCCTCCTTGAGTCGTTGGTAATCACTGAAGTCGGAGTAACTGTGAATCATTCCCTGCAGCTCGGACACTTGGGCATCACGATCTTCTAGCTTCTCCTGCAGGCAGCTTATCTGGCAGGCCAAACGCTGGTTCTGGGATGGAAAACAGGGACACAGAATAAAGAAGCGTTTAAGCAATGTATTCAGTGCAGTCTTTGGCTATTGTGTTCTTGTGTTTGTGTGTGTTTGATGGCCAACTTGTATCTCTAGCTCGTTGTTGATCCCGGGCGGTTCCTCGAGCTCTGATTCGGGTGGCTGTTGCTGCTGTTGCTCCACTTGCTCTGTCAGCTCCTCAAGGTCCCGCTTGAACTCATCAAAAATGCTCAGGTAGTTGTCCCGCGTGGCCTGCAAGATCTCCGATTGTGTTTGGCAGCGCAGTAACGTGTGCTCAAGCTCCTGTCGATGTGGACAGTCCACAGGCTCGTCCGTCTGGAGTACACGATAAGGGGAAATGGAGAATGGGACACTGCCGCTGTGGCTAGGGCTTACCATGGCAAATTTTCGGAGTGTACTCCGAAATCTAAAACCCAGCTCTTGTCAGACAACTTTGTGTACGGGATGCTCGAGGGCTCTTAGCTCTGCCGCGGTTTCTTGTTGCTGTTTACTTTAAATTGTTTTCGGAGTCGTGTGACCTGTGGTGGTGCAGCTTTCGTGTCGTGTCGGTTTCATATTGCACAGATCCAAAAATACATAAGTCTGGGTGGACGAATTTTGGCTTCATTACCGTTTCATTTCATTTCAATAATATTGCTATTAAAACTTTGTCACGAAAATAAAACCAAATCGAATTGATTGACTCTGCATTTCCTCCTCCACACTCCTCACCCGTCCCTCTCACACACACTCCTTTTTGTAGAGCAAGTTTCCTAGCGCTTGGTAGGTGGCAAGGTTTCGGGTTTCAAAGTTCCGTTGGTTTCTTTGGCACTTCGGGCAACACGAGTCAAACAGTCAAACATCCAAACAGTGAGTCGGAGTCGGAGCTGCCCTCGAAGGTTGTCTGTAGTTTTATAGACATTATTATATTTATTCCGCCCCTGGCCTCGCCCGACTGTTTGACACGATTTGAAAATAAAGCTGCCTCGGCTGCCAGGGAATTATCGTTGAACTGAGACGTCAGTCAGTCTGTCAGTCCGTCTGTCTGCATGTGTTGGATTGGCGGAGGGGAAGCGTGGCTACGCGCACTTAAAACACTTTTAAAGACAAATTATGGTGGAGTAGGAGCCGAGGGAGTAAACAGTAACCGTAGCGAACGATCCTGCTGAATATGATAGCTTAAGGAATGTGAAAATCGATTTAGACAAATGACTTGGCTTGGGGGCAATGAATTGTTATGATTTTGTTGGGTTCCCCTCCGACTTGCAGTTCCATCTGTACCCATCAAAAGTTATCCTACGCGTGGAGCGAGTTCTGCAATTGGTTTTTCGACACCTTTCACTGCCTCTGCTTGCACATGTGCACTTTTCCCGCCACTCGAAATCAATTTACACTTTGGCCCAACTTTTTCCGACGTTTGTATTAGTATCGCCTGTTTGGCTGTCAAATACTTTTGGCTAATTGCACGCTCTCCCCGTTGCCACGTGTCCACGTTGCCATCAGACACTTCGCGGCATTCGTTTTCGCGCGCTTTGCCACCTGCAAGCTTGAATACAAAACTTTGGGTAGGGGACTGCGAGGGCGAAGGTAACTAATTAAGGCTCGTAAATCGTCTGTTTTACGTGTTTGTTTAGCGCCGCGAGCCTTCGCATTACACCAGAGTCCTGGTGCCTTTTGTGGACTTGTTTCAACCGAATAAACAGCAACGAACGACGGATGACGGGACTCTGATATGAACTGAGCTTCCAAGTGCCGACGGACGACTCCTCAACTATTTCCGGAGCAGCGTTTATTCTGCCGTAGCTGACTTCTAATAGAGATGATCACGTGAAGAAGGGTTCACCGTTGGATCTGAGCTGTTTGCCAATTGCGGATCCTTGAGTTTGAGCCAATGGTAATTGGTGGGGTTTGGAAGGGGTTTCAGGACTCATTCCTGTCCTTACTTTTGGTTTATATCTCTTAAAAGGAACAAATGTTCCCCTGCTTTCTGTTTGCGGCCGTGACACTCGTGCTCACGAACTTCACGAGCATCTCTAGTGCACCCTCCACTCATCGATATGCATATCACTGGTCGCCTGCCTCGCGTGTCGATTGTGGGTAAATAAATAACACGAAACCTATTTCCGATTGTAGACGGAAACGGGAGAAGGAGAATGAAGGAAGGTGGCACGTTCCAGATGAACTTACTGTGGAGTCTCCTCAATAAACACATTCGCAAGCGATTTGTATTTGTCGCATGTAGACAGCAACCGCGCGGGGGGGCCGTAAAATGAAATCTTTTACTTTTGGCTCATACAAAATATATATAGCGGTAAATAAATCAGAGGACTGTTGTCATATTCCAGCCTGAATACAAAGGGCCTGCATAAGTACCAGGGCGGAGGTGCACGACGTCTGGCTGTAACTCGAACGGGAATGTCATTTGCCACATTTTGGATATATCCAAGTGTGTCGAGGGGAATTTTATGTACTCGTACTTGCTATAAGTTCAGATATAGTTCAGATAGCATTGATGGCTTGATAAAGCTTTCGTTGCCTCCCTGCTCCTTCCCCAATACAGCGACCAATTTATGTACACGTATAAACAAGACCTTACTTATGGGTTTATTTTA